GCCAGGAGCAGAGAGGCAGACAAGAGGCCAGAGTGCTGTTAGTGCCCTGGGCGCGTTCGGGGGCAGAGGATCCACTGGCATATATATGCCTGTATCGTCCTGACTGTTGAAGCATTCATCAGGAAAAGGCAATAAAACCACTAAGTTCCTTCCTGACGCTGCATTTGGACAGACACATTGGTGAGGAAGATTCTGAGAAAGGGATCTCCCATGTCATCTCACATGGGGATGTTCACTGCTCCCCTTTCTCCAACCTTGGCCATCCCCAGTGATGCAAAAGAAGGTGGGAAGAGAAACCCCAGACTTAAACGAAATAAAGAATATTGTTTGTTCAGCATGCATCAGGAAAAAACAATTGTTGCCTATCCCTGGTGTGAAACTGGCTGACGAGCAGAAGTGTGTGGTCAGGTCAGTCATAGGTGTCTGGGGAAAGCAAGGGGGTGTACCCTTCCTGTTAGTTCTCATTTTCCTGTTCTCTGGGAATGGATGAAAACAGGGCATGCCTGTAAGCATTGCAAGTCCTCCACAAATGACTGTCCGCACAGTGTTTGGGGAAATTGGCCTAATCATAGAATGGCTTGTGTTGGAAGAAACCTCAAAGATCATCTGCTTCCAGCCTCCCTGCCACAGGCAGGATTGCCACCCTCTAGGTCAGGCACTAGATGAGTTGCCCAGGGCCTTGAGCACCTCCAGGGCTGGGGGACAGCCAGCATCTCTGTACCCAGAGTTGTTCTCACTTGTCACCAGCAGCACGTTCAGGTGTTAAGTGAGCAAATGGTAGCTGTGCTCCAGAAGCCCAAGCGTCAAACTGAAAAGGAGCAAAAGGACTTTTGAAGATTTCAGAATACTCTGAAGAGAACTCAGTTCTTTTTGATCAGTTTACAGGGATAGGCATTTCTTTGGAGAGCCTGTTTATGACAAAAATTATTATGTGATGATGATCCTTGAACAAAGATCTAACAATTGCTTCTCAGAAGATAACTGAAATGTTGCTGTTTTTTGTGCTACTGACAGCCATCTCGACAGCAGCGTTTGCACCGCCTGTTGAGTTGTCCCTGTCAGAAGGGACATGCTGCACATGCTGCACAACAGTAGCTCCAGCTTCTGGCAAGCAACACTCGGCCAAAAATAGCCAGGTAAAATTAACGTGAAAACGAACGCTTTAATAACTTGCAAACAATTCCTGCTTTTTGTTAACGTGAACTTCAGGATAGTGTAGAAAGCTTTGTCAGCACAAAACCGTGTAGATGAGAATCTTTCTGAGACTAAGGAGGGACTCAGTGACGGCAGTGCGATCAGTAATCCAGTACCAGGCAGAGTACTCAGATAAAAGGGGAGGTTAGTAAATCCAGCTGGATGTGTTTCTTGCCAGTCGTGTCTCATCATGGAGCCATCTGCAACTGGTGGCAGATGGAAAGACGAGATTATGGCCAATCACTTTAATTCCAAAGTGTGCTGAGGTTTCCTTACATTTTGAAAAGCAGCAAATGTTGTATCCTTTCAAGGGGTGCCAAGGTTGGAGGAAACTGGTTAACAGTACAGTTCACTAGGTAGCTCCAGTCCCTTACTGCCAGCAGTATCTCTAGCTGGTAATGACATGGACTTTGGACTAAGCTCTCCCTCAGATGAATCCAGAACATTTTGTCAACTTTGTACTTCATTTCACCAGGTGCAGAACTGTAGCAGCCGTTGAACAAAGCACAGCTCCCAGTTCAGCAGTTGTGAATAGCAATGTATTTAATTGAAGTTGAGGGGTAGTTTATAAAATGACTTGATTAACAAATATAGCTGCAGGCACACACTGCACAAAAGCATATTCCTCAGCGAGAATTTGGGAAGGCATTTTGTCTGAAGCAAAATGGTACGATTGCAGGGTCAGCATCGTAGAGGTTTTAAATAGATGAAAAAGAGTCAGCTTAATGAGGACAACCTCAGTTAAATTCATCTTCTACGGTGTGAATCGCTTGGAGTGCTGGAAGCAAGTGAAGATGAAAATACCACTAAATGTAGGGGGGAATGTGTTAGGGAGCAGTCTTTCTGTGGGTGTTGTGTATAGCAATTAAAAACCCATTCAAAAGTGACTATCAATAGGATGGGCAGAGTCGTGTTTTGTATTTTAAGCTTTAGAGCAGCAGTCTTCCTATACTTTGTTTTGGATGTGTTTGGTGAGCTGGGCTGTGACGGCCCTCTGCACCTGTGTGGTTCCATGGGGTAACTGTTGGTGCCTGAGAAGCCCAAAAGGCAGCGGTGTGGGTCTCTGACACTTGAGGTAAGCTGTGCATTGTGCGTTGCTGTGGCATCTGGAGCTGCATTCCTGGTGGGGGCTGAGCGCTGTGCCCATCACTAGGAGCTGTGAGCACCTGCTTGGTGCTATTTGTCGGAGTGCTGTTACCTTTCCTGGACGGGGCTTAGCTCCAGAGAGGAGCTAGTTAGAGGTTGGTAGGTGTTCTCATTTGTATGGGTGTTCTAAGTACTTAAAATACTTCAGTATATCCAACTGTCACTAATATGTGTTGGAATCAGTGCAACATTTCCTAAACATTTAAAAGAATTTATTTCATTAAAAGCATATGAAAAATTCAGTAAAAGAAAAAACAAAAAAAAAAAAAAAAAAACCTTTATCCTGACATAGTTGAAGCCATTTTTAAAGCAAAAACATATGTAGGAAATTGAATTCTAGGTGATTTTAACAAAAATAAAAAAGCTCTTTTCCTGCCGAAATTGAAAATCTGAAGACCCTGGCTGATTTACTGAAGTGTTTTTGTGCCACATTTTTTCCAGTAAATTAATTCTCTGCCTGGGAGAAGCGCTGCATGCAGCCCCTTCTCTGCAAGAGGATTTACGTGCAGTTGTGTCTGCGGCAGTAGTAGAGCAGTGAGCAGCCATACGTCGGAGTGGTTTGACAGCTTCAGCTCCGGCACTGCCCCGTGTGGTTCTACCTGCTTTGCACAGGGGATTATTACATGACGCATTTTCTTTTAAGAGTGCTTTTCCTCCATGCTATATAGGGGTGGAAGGTGATGGTTACACCCTGTGTTTATTATTCAAATCGTATTGATAAGGAGAGCTCAGAACTCTTCCTGAATTAAGCTTAATGATACAGAATGCAAAACGTGTCCCAGCAGGCTGCAGCAACGCTCATGCTCCGAGCTAGGGCAACATCAGCATCCTCCTGCAGTTAGCAGCGTTTACATTGCATCTACTTGGGAATGCCTTCGGTGGAGCTGAGTAGGGAGGAGGAGGTATTGGTTGAAGTTTTCTCACTGTTGTTGCTCGCTGTTGTTGAAGGAGAACTGGAGGAGGAGAGCTTTTTAGATTCTGCCCCAGGTGTGCTCAGAGTGCCCGATAAGGTAGCACAGCACGCACCTAGCAGTCCGGCACCGACAGCTCCTGAGCGGTGACCGTGATGAGAACGGACGGTCGCGCTGGAGCGAGGCCTCGGGCCGGCACAGCGCCGGGCGGCCCCGCGTTGCCCTCCGCCCGCGGCCGCCCCGCCCCGCAACGCCTCCCGAGCGCCGCCCCGCCCCGCCCGCCGGGTCCGCGCAGCCCGCCGGCGGGCCGCGTTGTGCGGGCTGCGTGCCGTGCCTTGCACGTCAGGTGTCATCCCGCATCGCAGGGCTCATTTCAGCTGGACTGGAACTAAATGCAGATCAGTAATAATGTAATGCTGCGTACCTTAAGGTTAAATGTCTGACGAGACAACTGCCGCTAATGGACTGTGACATTTTTCATGCTACGGCTCTGACATTACTTGCTGTGTCAGGGAGAAATGTTCACGGGATCTCACTCACTGCCTTACATATATTAAGGAATCATTCTTTTCTCTCATGCGTGCTGCACGTTGCAGTGTTGCAGCTCATGCCGGGCATGCAGCATGGCCACGGCCACAGCAGAGCTGCAGCTCATGCCAGGCATGCAGCATGGCCATGGTCACAGCAGTGCACTGCAGGCCCAGCAGCACCCTCAGACTTGGTCTGGCCCACAGGGATGCATTACAGGTTCTGTGCTGATCCTCCCAGCACTGAGCTCGGCTGTGGCCACATCTCACTCAGCGTGAGCACAGACAACAGAACCAGATCAGAACTCCCTACCAAATCCTTGCTAAATTGATACCGCTGCAACGCGTTAGCTCTTGGCATTCTCTGAGTAAGGAAGATATGAGAGCATCCTGAAGGACTGCCCTGCCTGGCTGCTTCTGCCCATGTTCGGGTGGCACTGTATTGCTCTAGGAGCTCCTCACAGCAGCAGGTAGGCGTGAGCCATTAGGTGTCGGTGGCAGAGGGCTGGACTCGGTGTTGCTGTTTCACGAAGGCCCTTTCTAGACGCAGATCTGCGTGTGACACACTACAGTGCTTCCGGCCTGCTTTCCCTTGTTTTATCTTCTGTACGTGTGTGCAGGTCTGATTTGTTGCTGGGCGATGCCCTGCTCTGTCCACTGCTGCAGGTCTCCCAACGCAGTGCTGCTTTCCCCGGGCTTTCCTCTCTAGTGACGCTCCTCCACCGGCTGCTGGGCAATGCAAACAATACCGCCGTCGCTCGCGGAGGTTCCAGCGAGCCGTGGTTCTGGGGAGCGGGTTTTGGCGGAAGGCTGTCGGAGCAGCGCAGATCGTGCCGCGAGCGCTGCCAGCCGCGATCAGCACCGAGCCGGCGAGCTGCGAGCGGCTCCGCGTGTGCCGAGGCGTCCCCGCAGCGCTGTTATTTTCCGCTTTAAGCGCCGCTTCCCCGCGGTTCGAGGAAAAGCGGAAGCGAAGCGGGGCCGCGGCTCTCGCTGCACCTGCCGGCCGGGCCGCGCGGGGCGGCGCTGCGGGACCGCCTCGCCCCGTGCTGCGCGCCGCCCCTCGGCGCCGGGAGGGAGCGCGGCGTAAACAAGGCGGGGGCCGGGGCTGGCGCGCTGTCAGCGGGTCACATGGAGCCTCATATGGGCCGGGGGATGGCGGCGCGGCGCGGCTCTCCGCTGGCAGGCGGCGGCGGCTGCTGAGGCGGCGGCGGCTCGCGCCGAGGGCCCGGCCCGTCCCGCCTCCGCTCCCCGCCTCCCCGCGCTCCCCGCCGCTTCGCCCCTGACAAATGATGTGTTTTGTGCTCGCCGCGATGAAAGGTAGGCGCAGCCCGCGGGGCCGCCGTGCCGGGCGGCGGGGCGGCGGGGCCGGCGCTCGCCGGAGGCGCGGCGCTCCCCCCGGGGCGGCCTGCGAGCGGCGCGCGGCCGGCGGCCCCTGGAGCGGAGCGCGGCGCCGAGCCGCGGGTGGCGGCGGGGCGGGCGGAGCCGCCGAGGGCTGCGGGCGTGCGGCCGGAGCTGCGGGAGGGGAGCCGTCCCGTCTGCCCGCCGAGCCGTGCGGGGAAGCCCTGCCTCTGGAGCGGGGGCAGCGCGTGCGGCGTCCTGTGGGCAGCTGGCAGGGCGGCCGCTCGCGTTCGGAAGGGTTTGGAACAAGAGGAAAATCGGAGCTGCCGGGCGGTTACTTTAAACCTCACCTTTTTTTTTGTGCTTTCCGATCGCAGCCCTTAATGGGGACGGTGCCGGACTGAGGAGAGGCAGAGGAAGTTTTGAACGGGAAATCAGAAGTGTAGGGACACGTTCTCATGCTCCTAATAAAGTGGGCTCCGCGGTATAACTTTGCATTGCACAGTTCTTAAAGTAAGGATTCTGTTTAAAAAATAATAGTCATCTTAAAGCGGGAATTTCCTTTCTAACCGCGGTGTTCTTTGGTAGTAACCCAGAAGGGTCTCACCGCTGTCACTGGAATTTAGTGCCCCGGCTGAAATACAAAGTCTTTTCCTTTTGAATTATTTTCATGGATTGTGCAGGTAAAGCTTCTCCAAAGCCTCTCCTTTTAACGAAATAGTTGCTTGAAAAAGCAGGTTAATTCTGGTGTCGGTGCCAGGCTGCTGCCTTTTGTCCCGCATAGCAGGCGGTGCTGCCGGCAGCAGTGCGGCGCTGGGAGCACGGGGGCTGCCCGTCGGTGGGCTCCTGCGTGGGTAGAAGGCGAGCACTGTGTGCATTAATCGTTACTGTGCTGCATGTGTTTGGCAAGAAGGTGGAATTGGGGTGGTTCAAATACCAGCATGCAGAACAAAAGAAAATGTATTTTTAAGCGTGAACTACGTGGCCGTGTCAGCAGCCCTGTAGGATTTTACATGCACAGTTTGTCGATACAGCCCCTGCCAGCCGGCTTGAACCGTGTAACCCAATAAACAAAGGAGAGAAAAAAACGTCACTGATTGATTTATTTAAAACATATAACCATTTCGCATACGTTTGGACGGAGGGTGAGGAGCAAGGAGCTGCTCCACAGCAAGTCGCCTTTGAAGTAATTGTTTCAGTTCTTCGGGGAGTTTCGTGTAAACCAATTTCCATTCTGATGTAAAGTCTTGTCAGAGCCCAGCTGTTGGATTTTAAGGTACAATTCACAGTGGCTTGATTATGGAGTTACTTAGGGCTCTGTCCTTTTCCAGAATACTCGTGTGGTACGTTTCACTTGTATTTTGTGCTACTTAATTTCCTAATACGCTGAAAAACGTCGTTGATTCTTGTTTTTAAACCACTGGACAGAGTTCTGCTGCAGGAGATGTGTTGTCACATGTCTGACAGTGACCTCTGACTGCCACAACATAATAGATCCCCAGTGTTGCTGTTTGGAGGTGTAGATGTTTGGGAGATGTGAAGTGTGGGGAATGCAGTTCAGGTGTGTGAGGGGGAGATGCCGCTGAATGGAGCATTTTACTTCTTCCTGATGCTGTAATGCTATCTTCTGGGTTTTCTGGTTGTTTTGTAGTTCAAGCACAGAAAAGTATGGTCTGAAAGAAAATAATAGGATTTTTTTTATTTTTTATTTTTTAGTAAGTGAAAAAGATTATTAATTCCTTTTTGGTTGCTGTTGAGGTACCCCAAATTGATGCTGTTGGAAATGAATTGTGAGTCACCTTATTCTTTTTAATGCAACATGACGTTCTGTGGAACGGGCTTGCTGTCACGCTGAAGCACAGGCTGCCAGGCCTTACGTGGGTCAGAGCAAGCACGCGTTGTGGTCAGCTGTCAGCACACCAACACGTGCCCAGGGCTGGCAGCACGGCGGTCTGGGGAAGGGTCATAGAGTCACAGAATGGTTTGGGTCAGAAGGGACCTTAGAGATGGGCTGGAGGTGTCAGTGAAGTGGGCTACGTGGTAGGAAATGGAACTTTCTGGTTTCAGGCAGAGGAGAAAGGTGGTTTTTTTTTCTCTCTGTTTCTATGAAAATAGGCAGTGCTGTAGCATCTGAGTTATAAAGATTGAGTAAATGTTTTGTAGACTGATGGACCTTTAAAAATGGTTCATTAACTGTTACAAGTCTGCACTGAGAGCTGGGGAGACCTCACACTGTTAGTTGTTGCAAGCAGGCCAGAGTTAACTGGGGGTTCTTTTTTCTTTTCTGGAGGAATGCCATTTCTGTGCTCGGCCACTGAAAGTTTGCAAAGAAACTGAGTAGTTCAGGCAGTGTGCTCTGTGGTACAGATCTCAGTCCTGCGAGAGTCTTGGCTGCGAGAAGTTTCAGGGTTGACTGGTAGGAGAGAAGAACTGATGATGCTGAATTGGTGAGCAACTGCTCTGCTCTGGAGCAGCACTGTTGGGATAGATTACTGCAGCTGCGTGGGATCGGAGGTGACTGGGAGCTAGATCCAGCCTGGTGGTGTTTGACGGCCTTTGGGGTATGTGGGGGTACCGGGCACCTACTTTGTGAGGGACAGGGATGAGGCCTGGGGGTGGTGAGAGCTGGAGGACTGGGCTTCTGCTGTCCTCAGGCCATGTCAGTAGGGTTCCATCTCCTGTGGTTAATGAAGTACAGAACAGAACCTGGCACGAATTTTACTGCCCCTGCATGCACGTTTCTGAAGGGAGATCAGCAGGGTATCAGGCCTAAGCCCTGTGAGCTGTTTCTGCTGGATGTATTTATGTTAAGATAGAGAGGTGTGATTTCAGCTTCTGACTGGTGCTGCGTAGCATCAGTGAAACGGAATCCGTTCCTGCTTTGTGGACCTCGAGAGAAGAATTGGTTATTTTGTTACAGAGAACACTGTTTAACTGTCAGGGTCTGCACTTGAACCTTTGGAAACACAACCAGTTTTCTGACTGGCGTTGGCTCCGCGTGAGGGTTTAATCATTGACGAACACCTATTTAAGGAAACAGAACACGCAGCTTTCTTTATTGGTGCAAATTACTTCTGCACCTTGCTGCGTTCTCCTCCTGCTGCATACTGGAGCCCATGGGGCCGGGCTGTGGTGCTGTGGGACCCCTCCTGCGGCTCCCCATGCCCCCTCCCCACAGGCAGCACCCGCAGCTGAGCGGCCCCTGGGTGCCACGCCGCTCTGACGTGCGTTCTGTCATGGTTCTTGGCACTGACCTGTCAGCACGTCGGTAATTACTCTGTGCTTTTCACCAGTAAACAACTGCACGGGGAAAATATCTTGAAAGCCGCTTCGCAAATTGAAGCGTGTTTAAAATTGCCTTTGCTCTCGCGCTTGTGAAAGTTAAATCCAATTTAGCAAATATCCGAGTGCAGGACTTCTGTTGACTAAATATTAACAAAATCCGGCCTTTGGAACTGCAGGCTGAGAGGCCGCTTTACCTGACTGCGCCTCAGCTGAGCGAGTGCCTGCACCAGAGCTGTTTGTTGCGGCACAGATACGGCTGGTTGGAGGCTTACTGCTGAAATGGGTGTTTCAGGCCCTTTGAAAGACTCGAGATTTGCAAGTAAAAAGAGGAAATCTGTCTTCATGTCTCACTCTGTGATAATCAAAGGCAGTTGCTTGCTCTGTACAAGTCTCGGCTGGGGACGTTCTTTCAAGTGTGGAGAATCTGTACGTCCTGTTTAAGTCAGCGATAACCGGGGGTGCTGAACACCTCCTAGATCAAACTCGTTCAGCTTTGGTGCAGCTCTTGCCTAGCGACAGTGGTGAGCCTATTGCAGCCGGCCGGCAGCACAGCCTCACAGCGAGTTCTTCTGGGCCGGGTCTCAGTCAGTGGGGTACAGCGGCGATCTGTGGGTGCTCTGTGCGGATGCTGCCCATCTGCGCTGTGTTAAGAAAGAAAGAAAATCGCTGAAGGGATGAGGTGGTAGGGGCAGGTAGTTAGGAGGGCTGAGCCTCCTGGGTCAGGGCCATGTCTGCGGGCTGCAGTCAGGGGCTGATTCCTCTCTGTATCAAGTATTTCACCAGCATCAGTGAAAAAAGCTGTTTTCTTGTTCCTTGCGATAGAGATTCTTGTATGTTCTCCTTCTTTTAGGCCTGCATAGCACTAAATTCTAACCTTCATGGTTTTTAAATATTCGTTATTGCTTATAGCTTCTCTTGCCTACAGTACATAAAGAAACGATCGTTATCACATACTAATTACTGGCAGGGCTGCAAGTATTTCATCTTCACAAGAGAATTCTAAATTGGTGTATTTGTTTCTAAACTATATGTTACTAAATCAGAACTGTCAGACCTTTGTGTCTCTCAGGGGTAATGCATGCGGCTGTGTGTGTCTGACTTTGCAGTTCTCTATCTAGTATTAGAGGATGTGGAGCCTTCTTTTCTTTTTTTTTTGTGTGTGTTCTCATGAGATAAGTTACTGTAGTGTGCAAAATAACCACCTATGAAAAGAATTTGTTAAGTCATTACGAGACTAGTCAGGCTTGATACCTTTTAGAGTATGTTAGTCTTTCATTTGCAGTGAGAGAAAGAATTAAACATTCACCTTTCTCGTATTTATGTGTGAGCTGTAATTTGCAGTTGCAGCTGATAGCTCCAGAGATCAAACACGCTGTAGTTCTCTCCTTTCATGATTTGTCTTTTCCTTGAGGACTAATATCTGAGGGATATGCACATAACTAATGGTGCAGAAACTCTCTTCTAACCTCCTTTACGAAGATCGGTTTTCCTTGGGTTTGCAATAAGCAATAAAGAGGGAAAGGAGGATTCTGTTCTCCAGGAACAGCTGTGTTATGAGAAAAAGGTGACTCTATGTGGGACAGAGCTCTTTGCTCATTGGATGAAAAATATCCACAGACTGAAATACGTAAGCAGAAAGCCTTGTTAGGGGACCTGGCAGATGGATGCTGCTTTTTGTGCTTCGTACTGTTTTA